GACTCAACATAAGAAAATTAATCAGTGTAACATACCACATTAACACAATGAAAGGGGAAAAAACTGTGACATTATCCCAAGTGATGCAGAACAAAACACCTAACAAACTCAGCAACTAGAGCTAGGGGTTTAGCAGGTACAAAGTACTTGATCCAATACTCAACAGGGGTTGCCATCCAAATAAATGCCTTTTCATAATAAAGACATTCAAATTCGGGCATGGTGGCACATGCCTCCAATCTTACCTACTCAGGAGACTGAGACAGGAGGACTGAAAGTCATGGCAAATTTCAGGCTAGCCTGGGAAACTAAGTAAGATGCTGTCTCAAATTTAAATAAATAAATAAATCGGTCAGAAATACGGTGATAGAAGGTTTCTTAGACAATCCCTAGCTTTTGAAAGAAGATGCTGCTGAGAAAACATGATTTTTATAAAAGGGAAAATGCATTGCATAACCTAACGGGCTAGCCACCAAGGCTGAAGTTTTTTCAGAGACCCTACATTAGCACACAGTCTAACACAAAGCCTGTTTTCAGGGTCCCTAGGGTTCCTGAGCCCTTGGGTTCAACCCCAAACACAGCAAAGTGCATATGCTCTCTAAATGAAAAAATGTTATCTCCAGATTGTAAACACATATCAATGCACGTGAATTTTGTAATGTACATTGTAAGGCATATAGACAAATAAGCGCTGACTGATTTCTCTACAGTGGAGTGATTAAGAACATCAGCTGCAGAGCCTAACTCACATCCCAGCTCTGCAACTACTATGTGACAAGTGACTTAACCTCCCGGTTCCTCCTCAGCTTGCTCATCCATAACATAAGGATAAGAATCATACCCTATTGCAAAGGGTGATTATAAGTATTAAACAAGTTAACATAGGTAATGTGTCACACCTGCAATCCTAGCACTCAAGAGGCAGGGAGAGGAAGGCTGCCCAGAGTTTGGAGCCAAGCTGGGCCAAGTAACAAACACCAGGCCAATGGGGGCTATATAAGAGACTTTGTCTCAAAAAAATAGGTAAAGTGCTACAACAGTTTCTGTACAGAGTAAGTATTAATAGAACTGTTAACTAGCTGATTTCTTAAGAGGCAAAATGGACAGTTACATTAGTTTACTGTGAAAATGTGTGCCTATGGGCTCTGAGGGGTAACACACACTGCGTCTGCCTTCCTTTCACATTTACTGGGAGATGATCATTGCCTTCAGATAGGGGAGTGTAGAAGACAAGACCCAACTAGCTCTTTTAGCTAAACCCCAAGTGTGCCTTTTTATCTCTATCCCCACATTCTGTGTGAATTGGGAGGTGTCACCATCAGTGATCGTTTTACTGCAAGGTGCTTCGTTTAACTGATTGCTTTTGCTTTCTCTTGTTCAATGTCAGGAGCTGGCAGAGGCATGCAGATTTCGGGAAAAGTGAAGGAAATCATAAGAGTCATACGTGAGTCATCTGTCTTTTTTCTTCACATGCAGTCATCAACTCCTGCCCTTTTTTCATTGCCACATCTTTCGTAATCATCCCCAATCACACTAATATGCTCTCCCAAACCCAACAATGGGGGAAGACACTGGTAAGTCATGCTCCTACATAGGAGGTATATACATACTGTGCATGTTTCTAATAGAGACTCGCATCTGCCACCGTCCAGTCCACTGGGTTTCATACTTCAATAGCTCCCTCTACCCAGACAAGTCTCCTTGCTTGCTTTTCTTCGGATTGTGCCCTGATCAGGATGTTGAAGAGCAAATAAAGCTTTTTTTTTTTTGCAGAGATTGACTTTGCCAGCTTCTTTTCTGACCAAGCTAGGCTCTTGACTGGCCACTTCCTCATCGCGGCTCCTGCTTAACCTCCACTACACACTTTCTCCATTCGAATTCTACCCTTTCTGAAGGTCTAGGTCAACTTTTTTCTATTCTGTGACATTGAAAGCCTTCAGTTTCCTCTCTTCTGAATACCTATTGTTTGAACTACATTGTCCAGCCATTATGAAGTCAGTCTCCAATATATGACTAGTCTACATATAATTTCATGGATCCCAACTAGTCCCTACACTGGTACCCTGGAATGTACCTAACTAGCTCTTCTACATGCCAAGAGCTCCCTCTTACTTCTTTTGAAAGAGGTACTGAGCATAGTCATAGTGGTTAATGGCATAGTTTTGGGAATCGGGTTGCTAGAGTTGGAAGCCTTACTCATGAACTTTATTTAGGTTAGAATCTCAGCCTCAGTGTGCCTCAGCTTCCTTGTATACAAAAGGGACTCAATAATAACTCCTGAAGTTTAGGCTGCTTGTAAAAATTAAATGAAATAGAAGTGAAACACTTAAAATTGAGGGTGATGGTACACACCTATAGTCCGAGCATGGAGGAGGCTGAAACAGGAGGATTTCAGGGACTTCGTTCAAGGCTAGCCTGGGCTCCAGAGTGAAACTCCAATTATGTGTCAAACTACAGCCAGTCTCCAATATACTATTCTCTCTATAATGACTAGTGTGTATATACTTCATGGATCCCAATCAGTCCTTTACTGGTACCCTAGGAGGGAGGTACCTACCTAGCTCTTCTACATGCAGGGAGTTCAAGGGTAGTTATTAAGCCATGCCACAATGCGGGTTATCAAACTAAACAGACTGAACTAAAGTACTAACTAAACTTGTCACCCCCTACCCTGCCTTGTTTCTCTCCACAGTACGTTAGCAGTATTGGACATACTATATTTTACTTAACACAAAGAAACACACACCTTTTGCTAATAGTATAAACTAGCCGCATTGGACAGAGACTTGTCAAAATACCACCTTTAAGAAGAAGTAAAGCACTTAGAAACTTCCTGGCAGACAGCAGACATGGAAAAGCTAGCTGTCATTAACCAGCACCATGGTTTAGCCACTGCGCTAAACAGACTGAACAAAACTAGTAACCCAATTTTTAAAAAATATTCAGCAGGATCAAAACAAGAGAGGCACTTAAAATGTAAGGAGTTCTCCACACCCAAACCCAGAAATAACAATTAAAACATATACAGCTCAGGTTGGGGGAGTTGAAGGGATCCGGGGAGGAGAGGAGGGAGAGGGAGCTGGAATTGACATTTGAAGCAAGCTTGTTTCTGATTTAAATTTTAAAAACCCTGCAGTTTAGAAGGGAAAAAACATATACATCTCAATCCCTTCATTTCATCCATGAAAAAAAAATGTCACACAGGGAGGGGATAATGACTAACCCCGAGTCTCCCAGCCAGTCAATGTTAGAGTCATAAAAACTTCAACCTCGGAAATTTTTACACCAGACCACAAATGCAATTCTCTTGATGTTTCTAAAAGGGAGAAATGTTTCTATGGTCTAAGGTACCAACAAACTGTTATGACAAAAAATAAGTCAAGAGCTGACAGTTTGGTCTAGAGGGCCAGCTGTTGTTTCAGGTGTGTGTGGGAAGGAACTTGTAGGATGGATTGTGTTGGAATGACACAGTGAAAATCAAGACACTAATGAGATAGGTGACCTTAGGTAAGTCTGTGAACTTCAGTTTTCCTGTATTCCTATAGATACCTGGTATCCCCAACCGAAGTAGAGAGATTTCACAGACAAAGATTATTTGTATACTCTAAGATTCTAAGTCAACCTTCAGAGCCTAGCCCAGCATAAAACAAACAAGGCCAACACTTGAATAATTATCAAAGGCTGGAGGTGTGACTCAGCCATACCTAGAGCACTGATCCTAGCTCGCATGAAGCCATAGCTATCCTCTCCAGGAATCCAGAGGGAAGGGGGCAATTTTTGACTGACAAACTGAAGGGTAGCTCGGGTATCACTCAAATGCCAGTTTTTCAAGAAAGTCTATTCTGTGCCATTTACAACTATAACCCCCTACCCTGTCTTGTTTCTCTCCATAGTTCTTGATTAGTATCTGGCATACCACATTTTACTTAACACACAGAAACACTCACCCTCTGCCAATGATGTAACTAGCTTCATGGCTGAGGACTTGATGCGTTTTTCTCACTGTGACGTCCTCAGCCCCTAGAAATGCTGCCTGTCACAGATACTACATATATTTTGTCGAAGGAACATGGGAGTTTCCTAATTAACATTTCAGCTTTCGTTTCAAAGCACAGCACACTTGGTAAACATTCGTTAAGCAAATTGGGTTTTGTGTGTGTGTGTGTGTGTGTGTGTGTGTGTGTGGTTGTGATAATAAAACCTATTTTAATAGGCCCAGATCGCCATGCTTGCCAGGCCCAGTCCTGGAGGAAACCGTTCACCTTCGATTTTTGACGGTAACTCTGCAAAGTTCATTAGTTAAAAGTTGCTCACAGCACAAGGGCAATGGAGCAACTTCCCCAACAAAGTACAACTTTTCCATAAATTTAAGATTTTCCCCACTAAGTACGGTTTATTAAAGGTGGGAGGCATCGGATGCTGGTCAGTCCTTCTCAATGGATTTCTTAATGCAAGAGGAGGTCTTGGCCCTTTTGTCTTTTTGCTTAGGACTAAGATCTATCTTCAGAGGCTCCCTTTAACTTCCATGACCAAAGCCACACTTCCAAACTGAGCATCTGTGAGGCTCCAGGCAAGGAGCCCTGGGAAGTTCCCAGTTCACCAGGACTTGGTCGCCACCCCAGGGTCCCTCATCCCCTCATGAGCAATGTCACTTGTATAGGTCATTTCGGCAAAATTAGGTTCCCCTCAGTCCCCTTCCTCCAGATGTCAGCCTCCTTGGCTCTTCCCTAGTGCGCAAGGGAAGTGAGATGGCCAGTCCGGCTCCCCCGCCACCGCGCCTGGGAAATCCCCAGCACCCAGGTCCCCAAATCCAGCAGTATCCGGGAGACCCAACACGGGGGGCGGAAGGGGGGACAAAAGCTAGCGTCCGAGCAACAGTCACCTCAGCGCTCAGCTGACCGCGACTATCTACCCCCCACCCCCAGGCACCCTGCCCGCTGGTCCATGTCCCTGCCAGCCACGTCCCCCGGTGGCTGTCACCAACCCGGGGCCACACTCACCTGTGGCCACGGCTTCTGGGCTCACGGCGACGCACAGCAGCAGCGCCCACAGCCCACACAGCCGCGCTGGCCGCGCCATGCAGCCCCTCGGCTCGGAGCGCGGCCGGGCTCGAGCCGCTGCAGTCTCCGCCTCCTCGCTTCTCGCTCCCACTTCCCGGCCGCGGCACGCTGGAGGCCAGAGCCGGCGTAGACGGGAAGGGCCGCCCCGCCCACGGCCGCAGGTAACCCGAGCGCGCGGGGGCGCCAGGGCGCGGGCGGCGGACGGGGCAGGGCACGCGGCTCCCCGGCTCCCACCGAGTGACACCTGGCCTCCGTCCCTCCGTGCTACCACCTGTCACAGCTACAGAGGAGTCCTGACTAGGACCCAAAGCGACTTCCTCTGGAGCTTTGTGGCAAGGCTCCAGCCGCTGGCCTCTCCCCACTCCCACTTGGATGCGTGGTTGTCCCAGGTGCCAGAGGCTGCGCCCTGCTAGACACTAGGGCAGGGTCATGTAGGGAAAGAACCTTGGCCTGGGAGTCTGGAAACCTGGCTTCCAGCCTTAGGTCTCTGAGCCCTTGTTTCCTAAGCTCTGACTCCTAGATTAGTAATACCTTATTTATTTCTCTGGGTGGACTTGCTAGTCCAAATAGGGGACTTCTGCTTTGTAAAAGGGGACAATGATGGTATGTTTGAAAGCTAGTAATACATTGAATGGGATTTTTAAAGTGGCATTCCCCAAACAATGGACAATGCCACCGTCCTATGTACCTGTATTGTTAAAACAATCTACTATAGATTTAGTTTTCAGGATACATATTGTAGACAGGTATGGTGTTTCACAGTTAAGCATTAGACTGAACAAGTGCTTAACAATTCACTTCTGGAATTGAAGTAGAAGTACTGCCACCAATTTCACACCAGGTCTGACTGCAGTGTAGCACCATGTCTCAAATCTCAAATGATGGACACAATGAACAGGGAAAGGGAGCAGGAGAAAGAGAGGAAGGGGGAAAAGGAGAGAGAGAGACAGAGAGAGACAGACAGAGACACAGAGACAGAGACAGAGAGAGACAGAGACAGAGACAGAGGGAGCTCAGTAAGTAAAGATGGTTACTCTGAAGCCAAACAACTTGAGTTCAATACCCAAAAGCCCACATGGAAGAAGAAGAAAACTGACTTCTGAAAGTTGACCTCTGACTTCCACACGGGCATCATGGCATGTGCACACACCTACACAAAGGTAATGAAAGAATACACATTGAAAGGCTCTCAGGTTGTTAAAAGGCTGCACTTTTGATACGTGATTGTGGGTGCTAATGAGGGTTCCTGAGACCGGAAAAGGAGAGAAATGCGGTTTTTTGAGTTTTGTGGTGCTGCTGTGAAAATCACCACAAATCTGGTGACTTAACACGTTTCCTTCTAGTACATTTCTGGAAATCAGAAGTCTCACTGAGCTGGACCTAAGTGGGGACAGAGCTACTTTCCTCTTGGATATTCTAGCACATGAACTGTTTCCTTACTTTTCCAGCTCTGAGACACTACCCAAGTTTCTTGGTTTGTTGCTGTAATACTCAGCCCTCTGTTCCCATGGTCAAAATACACCTCTTTCTCTCACTCTGGACAAGCCATTTCCATTTTCTTCTTTTAAAGACCCGTGTGATTACAGCAATAGTCCACAATAGTCCACACATTTCAAAGGACTTGGCTTAGGGACCAGGGAGATGGCTCAGTGGAGAAAGTGCTTGCCACACAAGCATAAGGACCTGACTTCAGATCCCCAGTAGCCATGTAAAAAGCCGGGTACAGAAGAAATAACCTGTAACTCCAGCCCTGGGGAAGTTTTTCAGACAGACTAATCTGTCAGTCTAGCTAAATAGGTGAGCTCCAGGTCCAGCGAGATACTCTGCCTCAAAAATAAGGTGGAGAGCAATTGGGAAAGACAACGATAACCGACCTCCACACGAGCGCGCGCGCACACACACACACACACACACACACACACACACACACACAGACCAGTCTATTGTTTAAACTTTGATTTAATCACACCTGCAAAGTCATTTTTACTTTGTAAGGCAGTATACACACAAGTTTTAAGCGTTAGAATGTGACTGGAAAAAAATCCTCGTAGTTTTGACCTGATAAAGAGTCATGTCTGAGGGGATAGTGAAACCCACTGAGATGCATTTTGGTCAGATTAAATCAATATAGATACCTGAAAGTAGGTATAAAAATTATCAATAAACTATACCTAGTTATACTATACCTAGTCTCGACCTCACCCAGAGGCCATCAGAATGTTTGGTCTAGCTAAACAAAGACTCCACTCTGGAATGAAGGCCCTTGAGTTCAGTAAATATTTGTGAAGTCCAAGAACTGTGAAAGAGAATCATTAAAGGCAGACTTTGACTGGAGGTGTCTGGCTCTGCAGTTAAATGCATGTTTAGTATGAACAACACTCTGAGTTCTGTCCTCAGCACCAAGAAAAGGACTTTTTTAAAAGTACAAAAGGTAGAACTTGCTAACAAAGAACTGCAAACAGTTTCTGGTGCCATCACCAGAAACATGAACATGGAGTTATGGAATGCAAGGAACATGCCTTATGATAGGGAAGGGGCAAGAAAGGTTTCTGGGAGCAAGGACTGCTTACAGTGAGTCTTAAGACTCTGATTCTTAACTGTTGAAGGTGCAGTATAGAGCCATACTTACTCATGTATTATCAAGCAAAATAATGGCTAGGAACACAATGTCATCAAAGCCCATGGAACTGGTAGCTAGTACTGCGCTTTTAAAACCCCTCTGTAAGCAGGTTGGCACTCTCTAGCCCAAGGCTCCCCTTCCCTCATCAGCTCAAACATACACACTTGTTGACATGTTCCATAAACATTATACAATAAGTTTATGATAACATTTCCAAAATGATTATGCCGTCTGCCTTTTAAGGAGTCTGCAGTTGGAAAAAGAGCCCCTGGGGACTGGCTGCGTGCCATCATGGGCACCGCCTGGGCTAGATTGAATGAGTGCTTTAAAACTTGCCCCATAATGGCAAGAAATGACTACAAAAAGTTAAAGCAGTTACTTAGCATTAACCTCCAGAAATGGCTTTGAGAGTTTGAGCACCGTGAGAGAGAAGACAGAGGGTGGCATAGGCGAGGGGAGGGGGGCAGGTTTCCTCTCACCCAGCTGATACTGGTTTACTGTCCATGAGTGAGTCCATGAAGGCAGTTCCCTTTCCTTCTGACCCGTCAACATTATTTCAACGGGGGGGGGGGGAGGGGTGAAGCAAGAGGGTCTAGGGATGCTGGTTCTTCAAAAGCAAAGTCTTATTTGTAGGTTCTGCGTGCTTTTATTTAAAGGAGACCTTAGATAGAAGGAGACCACTCCTGTGGTATGCAAGAAGAATAAAGACAGATGGAAAGCTTTCCAGGAACTGCAGTAAACAAGAAGCTCTCAGTTTGGCTTTGAATAATACAAATCATGATGAGGCAACACCAAGTTTCGTTTTGACCCTTCCAGCCCATGTGACTTGGGCCTGAGACTACCATCCACCTCTTTTGCACTTTGGCCCCAGGGTGGCTGGAGTTCTGAGCTGACCTATGAACCTCATCTACTCTGAATGTGGGGGTGAGGCCTCTTGTTTATTTCTTTTTATTCTTCCTCCTCCCCCTCCTACTTTTGGACTAGCCTCCACAATGCTGTTCTCCCTTCTCAGCCTCCCTAATACTGAGATTAGCCGTGTGGCCCACTTTCAGTTCAGTTAGCTTATTTTCTCCTCTTTTTTATAAAGGAGAGGATGGTTTTTCTAGGCAGTGTCTTGCACTGTAGGGCAAACTTGCATACTGGTCTGGAAGTCACTAGTTACTATGTAGTATGGCCTCAAAACCATCAGCAGTTCTTCAACCTCAACCTCCAGAGGAACATTCTGGAAGAACAGGCATGAGCCTCTATGCCTAGCTCTTTTCATTTTCACTTTCTCACCACGGCTGTCTTCCTTTCCGGAGCCGGGAAAGAGCAGAGATAAGACACCTCAGAGGAAGAACGATGCCCCTTCATTCCCTAAATCAGGTCTCCCTCTAGCCAGTGAGAAAGAACCTCACCTTCAAAAAAGGACACAGACAGCAGAGTACATTAGCTTTTATTTAAGTCTTCTCTCTACCTTTTTTTTTTACATTTCTTTTTTTTTAATTTTATTTTCCAGTTTAAATTTAGATAAGAATCAAGGTTGCTTCACAAGTCAGTTCCAGGTCCCTCTCCCATTCCCTCCCTTCCTCTCGTGCCCTCCCCTCCCCCCCCGTTATCCTCTCATTTCTCCAGGGAGGGTGAGGCCCTCCATGGGGGTGCCCATAGTGTGTCATTTCATATAGGGCAGGGCCTAGACCCTTTCCCAAGAGTTCTGGGTGAGAGTGCACCTCACATTGTTCTATTGGAGTCCAAAGTCCGTGTGTATACTTGGGATGGGTACTGATCTGCTGCCCAAGGCTCAATAGATTCCCTAGGCCTCTTCACTGACACCCAGATTCAGGGGGTCTTGATCAGTCCCATGCTGGCTTCCCAGGCTAATGCCTGGGATTCAAGAGTTAACCTTTGTCTGGTCAGCTGTTTCTGGGGGTTCAACCAGCCCAGTCTTAATCCCTTTGATCATCAGTCCTCCCTCTCTGTTACTGGCTTTCTTGAGTTCAGCTCAGTACTTAACCAAGGGAGTCTGCCTCTTCTTCGATCAGCCACTAAAGTTTCTGTTTCCCAGACTCTCTGGCCATAGGATTGTAGGCTGGCTCTCCCCAGATCTATGTCTAAAATCCATATATGAGAGAGTACATGCCATGTTTCTCTTTTTGTGACTGGGTTACCTCACTCAGGATGGTTTCTTCTAGTGTCATCCATTTGCCTGCGAATCTCATGATTCCATTATTTTTTTCTGCTGAATAGTACTCCATTGTGTAGATGTACCACAATTTCTCTATCCACTCTTCAGGTGAGGGACATCTAGGTTGCTTCCACGTTCTGGCAATTACAAATAAAGCTGCTATGAACATAGTGGAACAGACCTCTTTGTTGTATGAATGGGCATCTTTTGGATATATGCCTAAGAGTGGAGTTGCTGGGTCTTGTGGTAGGTTTATTCCCATTTTTCTGAGGAATCTCCACACTGATTTCCAAAGTGGCTGAACCAGTTGGCACTCCCACCAGCAATGGAGGAGTGTCCCCCATTCACCACATCCTCTCCAGCATAAATTGTCATTGGTGTTTTTTATTTTAGCCATTCTGACAGGGGTGAGATGGTATCTGAGAGTTGTTTTGATTTGCATTTCCCGGATGGCTAAGGATGTTGAGCACTTTCTCAAGTGCCTCTCA